AGATATAAGGCTTTTTTTTTTACATCTGCTCCATTTTTTAGTACTTTGATACTAAATAAAATCCTTTAAATTACTATTGAACTGTTCTATATTCACAAGCTGGGTTAGACCATTTTAATCGATCCTTATTTGATCAGAAAGTGTTGATTTATTGTAAATGCCATAACAAATATAACACAAGGAGATGGCTACTCATTTAAATTAACAGCCAATGTGCTTTTTTCCCACTGTTCAGATTTTTTTAATGGCATACAACCTAATTTTCTTTATGCTCACATTCAGTTTACAGTTATTAAAGGGACACAACTTATGTTATACATGCAGTGGTGATTTCCCATAGTTTCCAGTATATTATAGTTTGGTACAAAATCTGAACATTTTGTCAGCTAAGGAATGTCTTTGCTTTAACTTACAATATATTTCAACTATTTTTATGTGATTTTTTTTTACCTACTTAATTATAACAGTTAATGTTAACCACATATTTGTAATAGAGACCTTTGTGACCTCCTTGCATGGATTAAAACCTTTACCTTAAATTTTGCTTGTGTCTGAACAAAACAAAAATGCTTTTAAATAAATTGGCTGCAAGATGGAGTGAATTGGCATTATTTAGAGTTATTTTCCAATTCTTTTACTCAGACTTGCAATAAGAGAATAAAGTTTGTTTTTTTCAACAATAAATAAATGTATAAATTGACTTGTGTTATGAAGATCACAATGGAAAAGGAAACAAAATCAGATAATTTTTGATATATCAGATTGCTTCTGGTATGTTAGGTTATTTCTGGTATATCAGATTGCTTCTGGTATGTCAGATTATTCCTGGTATATCAGATTGCTTCTGGTATGTCAGATTATTCCTGGTATATCAGATGTCAGGTTATTCCTGGTATATCAGATTGCTTCTGGTATGTCAGGTTATTCCTGGTATATTAGATTGCTTCTGGTATGTCAGATAATTCCTGGTATATCAGATTGCTTCTGGTATGTCAGATTATTCCTGGTATATCAGATTGCTTCTGGTATGTCAGATTATTCCTGGTATATCAGATTGCTTCTGGTATGTCAGGCTATTTCTGGTATATCAGATTGCCTCTGGTATGTCAGGCTATTTCTGGTATATCAGATTGCTTCTGGTATGTCAGATTATTCCTGGTATACCAGATTGCTTCTGGTATGTCAGGCTATTTCTGGTATATCAGATTGCTTCTGGTAGGTCAAATTATTTCTGGTATATCAGATTGCTTCTGGTATGTAAGATTATTTTCAGATTATTTCTGGTAGATCAGATTGCTTCTGGTATGTTAGATTATTGTCTGGTTGTTTTTGGTATATCAGATTGCTTCTGGTTTGTCAGATAATTCCTGGTATATCAGATTGCTTCTGGTATGTCAGGTTATTTCTGGTATATCAGATTGCTTCTGGCATATCAGATTTTTTCTGGTATATCAGATTGCTTCTGGTGTATCAGGTTATTTCTGGTATATCAGATTACTTCTGGTATATCAGATTATTTCTGGTATATCAGATTGCTTCTGGTATGATAGATTATTTCTGGTATATCAGATTACATTTGTTATTTCAGATTATTTCTTATCAGGATTATTTCTGTTTATCAAATCAGTTCTTACCAGTATATCAGACTCATTCTGGTATGATAGTATAATTTCTGGTATTATCAGTTATACCATCTTTATTCTGGTATATCAAGGTAAATTCTGGTATATCAAGATTAATTCTGGTTCCTGAATATCATAAACATACTATGAAATATCTATTTCTGGAAGTCATTTACTTCTTCCCCCAAGACAACATGTTTAATTTCAATTAGAGAAATATCTTTAAATAGAAAGTAATGATAACAATAGCAGCTTTTTTGATCAAGTAGGAAGAAATTCTAAATTTCACTTTTAATCTCAGATTGACAAAAAAAAAAAAAAAAGGTTTGAGGATTGTAGAAGCTGAGTAGGTGGAGAAATATTAAAGTGCTGCCTGTACTTTGATTATTTATGAGATGATGCTTTTTATAAACTGTTTAATAATTTCTGGTCATAACAATTTGTACATCTGCTGTTTATAATGGCCATAAACATAAAATTTTAATATAAATTAATTGATCAAATTAATTTTAGATTTCTAAATATCATCAATGTATTCCTGAATCAGCAATGTGCACCTATATAGAAACTCAGATATTGATAAATTAAATGTGTTCTGGTTCTGAAAATTGGTATAGTGAACTGAAAGATGTGTTCATGTACAAGTATTGATAACAGATTTTGTTATTAATTAAAATGTGTTCTTTAAATTGACAAATTGTTCCTTTATTAGCGGTGTGTGTTCTGTCTTTAGTAAAATGCTGTTGTTTTTGACTTATTCTATTTTATTGACAATGAGGTTTTTTGGCAATATGTTCTTTTATTGACAATGAGGGTTGTTGGCAATATATTCTTTTTTTATTGACAATGAGGTTTTTTTGGCAATATATTCTTTTTTTATTGACAATGAGTGTTTTTTGGCAATATGTTCTTTTATTGACAATGAGGGTTTTTGGCAATATATTCTTTTGACAATGAGGGTTTTATATTTATTGACAATGAGGTTTTTTGGCAATATATTCTTTTGACAATGAGGGTTTTATATTTATTGACAATGAGGGTTTTTGGCAATATGTTCTTTTATTCACAATAAGGGTTTTTGGCAATATGTTCTTTTATTGACAATGAGGGTTTTTGGCAATATGTTCTTTTATTGACAATGAGGGTTTTTGGCAATATGTTCTTTTATTGATAATGAGGGTTTTTGGCAATATGTTCTTTTATTGACAATGAGGGTTTTTGGCAATATGTTCTTTTATTGACAATGAGAGTTTTTTGGCAATATGTTCTTTTATTGACAATGAGGGTTTTTGGCAATATGTTCTTTTATTGACAATGAGGGTTTTTGGCAATATGTTCTTTTATTGACAATGAGGCTTTTTGGCAATATGTTCTCTTTATTGACAATGAGGGTGTTTGGCAATAAGGTGTTTGGCAATATGTTCTCTTTTATTGACAATGAGTTTTTTTGGCAATGTGTTCTATTATTGACAATGAGAGTTTTTGGCAATGTTCTCTATTATTGACAATGAGGGTTTTTGGCAATGTTCTCTATTATTGACAATGAGGGTTTTTGGCAATGTTCTCTATTATTGACAATGAGGGTTTTTGGCAATGTTCTCTATTATTGACAATGAGGTTTTTTTTGCAATATGTTCTTTTATTGAAAATGTGGTTCATTATTGGCAGTGTGTTCTTTTGTTGCAATTTTATTATGACCTTAAATAGAGAGATTATAACTCTAATTCAACGGTATTAACATAATTATTAAAGAGTTATAGGCAGCAATGATTAAGTTACAGATCAGATTTTCCCTGAATTTGAAACTATGAACACCGAAAATTCTTTTCATTCACAATTAGTTTGTTAATTCAATTATAAAATGCTGTTGAAGCAGTGTGGCTTCATTTAAAACATGAAAGTGTAAATCACCATGAAGCACTGGAGAATGCAAATTTGCAGAGATAATTGAATTATAAAGTTGTTTATACCATCAAGGTATAGTTAGTAAACAAAGACTCTAGGATGATGGATTTTCTTCGACATTTGCTCTTAGAAAAATTTTGCACTATTATGTAACACAGCATGAAAGATTCTTGGAAACATTTTTTTTGTTGAGAATATATTTTAGGCTTGTTATGATTATGATCAAATTATACCCGGAACATCTTCATTTAGGCCAGGAAAACTTTTTTTTTTTGTGTGTTTATGATGCACTGATTGACTTGGTCTGGCATTGTAATAGCGAAGGCATGTTGACTTTCATAAAAAACTATGGTGAAAAGGATATGTTTAATTGAGAAAACATTTTAACATGGTTATTCTTTTAAACCTTAACCTGCTAGAACCGGAAATGATCAGCCGTTGATTCACACCAGTATAGAGCCAGGCCAGACTGTACATCCATATACAAGGCCAGACTGTACATCCATATACAGTCTTCAGACTGGGGTTAACTCAACTTTTGTATTTTTGTCAGCTTTGAATAGTTGTAATCTGGAAAGAGGCAAATGTAGGCTTTTCTAAACTTTTACCATTATAGCTTGCTTCATGGTGCATTGCTGTTCACGATAGATTAATCAACATGTTGTGCATATTAAAGGAGTATTAATTTGTATCCCAGGATAAGGTGAGAAAACCAAAAAAAAAATCTTTTTTTCCGGAGTAAGTCTGTTAAAAGGTTAAATAAAGGAAACTTGACAAGTTCATTTTAGAAATTCAACTGATTAAAAGCAAAGGAAACCGTGTTACGATGAAAATGGCCAAAAGCTGCATGGCTTATCAACAATCAGTAAAATTTATTCAGAATTATGATTCTTTTGACATTTTTATTCAGTAGCATGAAGGGCATTTATTACTGCTAAATTGCATACAGGATAATTATGGTATTTTATAAAACATGCAAATTGTAGTAAATGATAGTAAAATACTGTATATTCAAAGTGTACTTCACACTGCTACATAGTTGATATGCTACAGAATTGAAACAACACTTTCTGGATGGTTTTTATGTAGATTTCGTCAAGAATAGCTATAGAAACATGTGAATGAAGTCTCGTGAGCATTTCCTCTATAATGTGAGGCATTGAAATTTACAGTTCTGTACAAATTGATTGGAGAAACCCGTTAACTCCCGGTGGATAAGCTGGTTAAATTGATTTTGAATGGTTTTGTGTCCCGAGTTTGTATTTATTTTGTTCAAATAAAATCGTTCATTTAAGCATAATGATGTGATAGCATGCAAAAATTATCGGATATAAAATACTTTTACAGTGTAAATCAGTCTGTTTTCTCTGTCAGTTGGTGATGGCGATCTGAAATAAAGCAGCGGAGTGTTATTTAAGTAGTTTAGTCACAGTTACTATCATTTTACAGTGACTTAATAACTGTTAACAGTTTATTGTTTTTATAAAATATACAAAAATAACAGTATATATTCTGTTGGAACTTGCATTTTCTATAGCTATTTGTGGCATATAACAATAATGTTAATACTATTGATAGGATTACGGTGTGCCTTTTGACAACTGTTAAAAAAAAAATCTGGTTAAAAAATAACCTCTTGAAATAGAGAAGGATAATCCCTAATCATTTCTAATGTGTGATATAATTGAATTGATCAGCTTTCAATGGTATCGGGGAGTGACATATAGCAGTTATTGAATACTGGCATATTTCAATATTAAAACTAGATCAGTGTATTTGCTTTTAACTTTGAGTTTGGTATTTTCGTACTGAAATTGTGCCATTTGATTAAACGGAAAAGTGTGTTTATATTGAGATAAGACGAGTGTTTGAGACCTGAATAATTTTCGTATTGGATTTTAAAAATGTGTTTGTGAAGTTATGTGACGAGGTGAAGAGATGTCAGTGTTTTCATTAATTGTTTGGTTTATATATTACCAAGTGGTATAAGATATAGGTAGCTGTATGAAAGAACCAGGAATAGAATAGGATTGATAATAAAATAGCTGAATAAGATGTGGAAATTTATGTCGGAATAAACTTCGATGAAAAGAACACTTCGATGGACAGGAAAGGGCATATTTATAAATGTTTGAAATATATCAGTCCTTGAATTGATATTCCGGTATTGAAACGGTGAAATATTTGTTGAATGTAAACATTGGGCTTTTATATACCCTGTATGTATTGGATACCTAAATGTATAAGTTAAATGCAAGTTATCATTTATTGCACAAAATTGTTAAATAATATTAAACCGCCACTGAATAAATTGCATGAAATTTGTTTTCCCCTTGTATTAAAAGATATAAATTGATATCCGAACTATGTGATGATATGGAGAAATCGGTTATTTATGAACATGCCAAGTTTTTATATGGAATAATGGCAGAAATGGAGATAAATTGTTCTTATATACTTTAATAAAAGACGACATCATGATCGGTTAAAGTTATGTAAGAGATAACGGGATATAATAATTATTAACACGATAAAAAAATATATGAACATGGAGAACAGGACCTGTGTTTTAAATATTTGGTATATTAAATGACATTTAGAAATGTTATCGCGGAAGTCTCGGACCAAAATGCAGGATCTGCGGCGCGTTTCTTCTTGGAAGCCGAAAAAGGAGAAAAAATCTATCCTCGCTCGAAGTAAAAGTGAAGGCGGTACAGAATGCTGTATGCCTGTAGATTTAAGGCTACCTGGCCCAGGTCCACCTATGGTTCCAAGTAAGTTTGTCACATAAATTTTGTTCTTTTTTTTTTTTTCTAAACTGCTGTGGGTTTGAATCCTGCCAAGGACTCAGTGACTATAATAGTTAAGTGCTTGGGTATGTATCTTTTACTGACCTGAGTAAATTTATGCACCTGACACAAATAGTAAACATATGTTTTGACTTATAATCTAAATTCATACCTGAAACTTTATTGTGTTAATGTGGAATTCTCAATTGAATTTAAATTGGCTTTCCTTAAAATGTGTTTTTAATTCTCAAATTCTGACCTAGTTTTAGTAATTTTGACTATTTTAGTAATTCAAAAATTGTCATAAAAACAATCCCAGTACAGATAAAGTCCATATGCTATCTTAAATTCCAGATAAAATATTTTTCCATATGTTGAAGTGTTGAATAATTACTCTAGTAAAATGTTTACATTTAGATGTTTTGGGCTTGACATTTGACTGTACAAGTATCATTATATGGTCTCTTCAAAAAGGATTACATTAGACAAATATTTTATTTCGGCTTTGTTAAGTTTTAGACCTGTATTATTAAGGAATTCACCATTCTAAATCAGAACTGTAAATATTTTCACCATTATGTACATTCTGTTGAGAATTTAGAAATTCTGTAACAAGGGCAGTGACTTAATAAGTATAAAATGCTTTAAAAAAAATATCAGAAATAGATTTCATGGAATTTAATATGAAAACCATATTGTTATTTATGGTATATAATAAAAGGCACATAACTATATAGAGACCATTTCCTGTCTATAAATATATGTTAAGATTTCCCACCCCTTAAATAAAGATGAACTTTATAGGTAATTTTATAATAAGAGAGTGTTAATTTGATAGAGGTTCATAGGAAAGACTGGACTTGCCTAACTGTGTTACCTCTAAATAAAATTATTATTAGTATGACTATGCGGAGAGACACACAGGCATGAGTATCGGACCTGGGAAGAAAAAATATGAACAGATTGATAAAAAAACCTGTGTTCATCTTAAAATTGTCAATAAAACAAAAACAAAAAGGAAATAATGACCCCCTTTAAAAATATACTATAAGTTAAGATAAATTTATCTTAACTTACAGTATAGTATGTTTTTAAAGGGGGTCATTATTTGCATTTTTTTTGTTTTTTTTTACACTTTTAAGATGAACACAGGTTTTTATTATCAATCTGGTCATATTTTTTTCTTCCCAGCTCCGCTACTCGTGCCTGTGGAGAGACAGGCACAAATGGTCTTGCACCACCATGCAAACCCTATATAGGAAATCCCTCCCCCTTCTTCTGTTTAAATGACAAGATTGAGGATCTTTAAGTTTGAGGTGTTTTTTTTCTCTCTCTAACTATTGTAATGTAAATGATTACTGACTGACTTTCAGTTTGACAGCATAAACTAGATACAGAAACATAAATAAGAAATAACTAACACACTTAACCAACTTGGACAAGTCCGAAAATATTACTAAAGGATAATTAATTGACTTTACCAAAAAGAAAAAAAAAAGAATAAATAACTGACTACCACCATGAGATAGACAGACAAAATATGGATAACTGACTGACTTTTACCACCTGCATCTACAAGGAAAATATGGATAAAAGATAACTGACTGACTTTACCACCTGTGTCTACACAGGAAAATATGGATAAAAGATAACTGGCTGACTTAACCACCTGTGTCTAAACAGGAAAATATGGATAAAAGATAACTGGCTGACTTAACCACCTGTGTCTAAACAGGAAAATATGGATAAAAGATAACTGACTGACTTTACCACCTGTGTTTGCACAGGAAAATATGGATAAAACATAACTGGCTGACTTTACCACCTGTGTCTAAACAGGAAAATATGGATAAACGATAACTGACTGACTTTACCACCTGTGTCTACACAGGAAAGTATGGATAAAATATAACTGACTGACTTTACCACCTGTGTTTACACAGAAAAATATGGATAAAAAAGAACTAACTGACTTTACCACCTGGCTCTACACAAGAAAATGTAGATAAAGGATAATTGGCTTTACCACCAGCAACTACACAGGAAAATATGGGTGAAAGATAATTGACAGAATTTACCCCCCAGCAACTTAGGGAACACAGGAAAGTATGTATTAATGATAACTGACTGACTTTACCCCCTGTATCTATACAGGAAAATATGGATAAATGATAACTGACTGACTTTACCACCTGGGTCTACACAGGAAATATAGATAAAATATATCTTACTTTACCCCCTGTATCTACACAGGAAAATATGTATTAATAATAACTGTCTGACTAAACCATCTGGGTCTACACAGGAAAATGTTGATAAAAGATAACTAACTTTACCCCCTGTATCTACACAGGAAAATTTGTATTAATAATAACTGACTGGCTTTACCCACTGTATCAACACAGGAAAGTATGTGTTAATGATAACTCACTGACTTTACCACTAGTATATGAATTAATGATAACTCACTGACTTTACCAACATAGACTACTATAAATCCTGATTAGCTTTACCATGCAGTTTGATAGAATAAAATTTATCATTATAAGTTATATTTTTATTGCACAATTTGCAATATTTTTATTGCACAATTTGCAGTTACACCATTGTTATTACAACCTTCAACTTTAATCTGGCTTATAAAATTAGTTTTACTATAATTTTCACAAGTTATAACTAACAGGGCAGTAAAGGGTTAAGTCATTATATAATGTAATAGGAGTTAATCTTTACTGCACTAATGTGGTGAAATGTTATTTCAAATATCTTCTGCAAATACCTATTTGTAACATTACAATTAACATAATTATCAACGAATATTAACTACCAGTATAACAATTGACCTCAAATGATTTGTGGTTAGAATCCCACTAGGGACATCAGATTCTCTCATGTTAGGAAACTATACTAAGCTGAAAGCTATGTGATGGCAGATACCTTACCGGTGGCTGAAATAATACACAGAGATGCATCAGAATCAGAGTTCTTCTGGTTTTTTGTTTGTTTTTTCTTTCTCCATTTGGCCAGAAACAGTCTTGTGCAACTTTAACCTTTTGTCAGCTGGCGGTAACTGAATCTAACCTTGCGATCAGTGCAGACCAATATTATCCAGCACTTTCTTGCTATCTTACCTCATTGTCTGTTGAATCAGTCGGTACTTATTAAAATTTCCCCCCATATAAGCTGAATGGTTTTGTCCAGTTTGAAATATGGATGAATCTATTTGAGCCATGTCATGACAAAACCAACATAATGGGTTTGCGACCAGCATGGATCCAGACCAGCCTGCGCATCCGCGCAGTCTGATCAGGATCCATGCTGTTCGCTATCAATTTCTCTACTTGTTATAGGGTTTGTAAGCCATTATGTTGGTTTTGTCGTGACGCGGCTCATATTTTAAGATATTAAGTTTGGAACGATGAAACCTTGAGTGGAAAAAAAAATTCTATGACAGCAAGTGTGATGTAACAAACACTTCATGTGACACTCATTTGTTAGTAGAAATATTTGTTATTAGTAGCATTTGTTTTGTTAATGATTTCCTATATCAGTTTTCATTCTAATAATTTCAAGTACTTTTACTATAATACAATGCTCAGTTATTACATACAAATTGTAGTCCTTCTTCTGTCATTTTTTTTTGTATGGTAATTTTAAGTGAGCATTGAAAATATGTTAATTGAAACAAATTTCAATATCAAAGTTGAAAATGATCAATTTAATTTTTTTTCTTTTGAAATGATATAATATTGTCAGAGTATATTCCTGTTTATAAATAAACAACAATGAAAAATAAATTTTAAAGCACATCACGGAATATATTTTTTTTCTTTTCAGAATATTAATATTTAAACTTCTCAAACAGTGTACTTGGATTTGTTTTGACAGAAGATATATTTTACTTTGTATTTAAAAAAAAAAAAAAAAAAATCCGAAAAAAAATAATTTTGAAATATATTTACAATGGCTATCATTTTCAAGTGAAGGACACATTTTTATATCCCTATAATAATCTTAAAACCATTTAGACATAATTTGTACGTCAGTCCATTTGTTATGTCTTTAAAATGATATGGTCTCATTTTTATATAATTGACAGTTTCCATTTTCGTGATTTGACACACATATAATGATTGTTATTAAACCGCGTTTTCAAATAATTTCAAATATTTTGATTTTGTTTCAGCTATTGATTTATAGATTTATGTCTATCCTTGATAAAAAGAGAGAAAATTGGGTTATCGTGTACGTTTCATTAATTTTCATTTTCGTTTTTGAATGTAAAATTAAGAAAACTAGCAACATAACAGTCTCTGTCAAATATTTAACACCTGTTTACAATTAATATGATTTGTCTCATTAAAAATCATTAAGTATAAAAAAATTTAGATTTTGTATTTCTTAATAACCTTAACCAGGCAAATGTCTTTGATCTTTAATTTTGGACAAAACCATTCATTATTTTTACCAGAAAAAATTTCAAAGTATGTACTGACAGAATAGCAAACTGTGCAGACCTGAGGGTCAAACTGCACGGATATGACGGCCGGCCAACTGGTTACATTGATTTAGTCGCTGCCAGCTGGCTTAAGGTTAAACTACTACAACTTAATTAGCTTGATGGTCTATATTTAGTTCAGAATATATAGCGTACACTTTGTTAAAAGTTTGTCAAACAAGAAACGTCTCCAGTCAGTTTTTCTCCACCACCGACTTTAAAGTGAATTTAAGTAAAGAAGTTGACATGATTTGTGCTTGTGGGGAAAACATTTGATAAATATAGTGTTATTGCCATTATGTTTTTTATATTTCATTCAAAAAGAAAATGCAATAATTTTATGCTCTGAAGATTAGAAGAATTTATCTTCCTAAGAAAATCACTAACAGAATATTTCACCGACATTTCCGAAAAGTACATTAAAAAAAACCCATAATGATAAAAGATTGGTATGTAAATATGCCAAGAGTTTTGTATGATATTTGAA